GTACCGCAGGTTATGTGTTTAATTACTCACAGGCCTCCGGCTGTCTGACCTAAATTGCCTGGGATACATTACTCACATTGCAGAGACAGAGACACACAGGCCCTTGCCAGGGCTGGGTGTCTCACACAAACCTTTTTCATGCTAGACAGGGAGGGAGGAGGAGAGACTGCAACAGCAGTATCGGGTTTCCTCGGAGGAATGAGCAGCATTTCAAGGGAAGAGAGCAGATCACACCTCCCAGCTTAGCAAATGCACAAGTGATCCTGGTATCGTGACTTTGTCAGACACTACGTTTGGTTTCTTGTGTCTGATTAGTGGGCTGTCATAATATTTGTGACTTGGAAGCAGAGACGATTCAGTGAGGGCTGTTATGAGGTCTTCCAACTCCTGAAAGGAAACAAGCACCTCAGTCCAAAGAGGACAACAGTAATGGAAGCACTATGGAATGCCAGCAGAAACTAAAATGATCATGAATTTCAAAGAGGATAGGAGACAGTGTGAAAAAGAGAGAGATCAGAGAGAATCTCTCCACAATAAACACACCGCAGGACAGGGGACCATGACAGAGAGGAGATCACAGAGAATCGCCTTTTATACAGGCGTGAGAGGTCTAGAAGGGTGTTTTCAAGCTCTGGTCCTGTAGGACCAAGATCTCAGCCCGCAGAAGGTGACGTAGGCTCAACATGATAGGCATTATTTTTGACTGAACGTTATTTTTGACTTGAACTTGAACAGACACCGGTGGGAGTGGCACTGTATTGGACACACCCATAAGGGGGTGTGGTTTTGCAACAGACACACCCCATGGGGGAGTGGCATTGTATCGGACAGACCCTAGGGGGGGGTGGCATTGGATGATGTACATCTGTGGGGGGCGTAGCATTCTGCCAGGCACGCCCACAGTGAGAGTCATTTCCTCCTCAATTAAAGCCAGTTAGATCTGAAGTGCAGCTCTAATGGGCTGCATTCCAGGCAGCACACCCGAATGAGAGGAGTTCAGTGAAACTGAGAAACAGTGGCAGAGGTGAGACCAACTTCAAATCCCATTTGACCTTTGAAAAGGCCCTGCAGCGGGTGGTCAAAACTGCCCAACCCATCATCGGCAGTGCCTTACCATACATCCAGGAAATCTACAACACCAAGAGTCTGAAAAAAGCCACCAGAACTATGTCTGTCCCCACTCAACCCAGTCACAACTTGTTTGTCCCCCACACTGACAGACTGGAGGAACTGAGTCTCTTTAGTCTGAAGGGAGTGTCCCACACTGACAGGCTGGAGGAACTGAGTCTCTTTAGTCTGAAGGGAGTGTCCCACACTGACAGGCTGGAGGAGCTGAGTCTCTTTAGTCTGAAGGGAGTGTCGCACACTGACAGGCTGAAGGAACTGAGTCTCTTTAGTCTGAAGGGAGTGTCGTGAGCACGTGTGACTGTGTGTGTGCCCTGTGATGGCCTGGCATCCCATCCAGGGTGTACCCTGTGCCTTTTGCCTGCTTAGATAGGGTCTGGCTTCTGGTTAGAAAATGAATGGATGATAATAGCTGTCATAGTTGTCTCCTGTACTACTGAGCGCAAACAGAAAAATGACACCTGGGTCTTCTTTTCCTTAACAACAATAAAGCTTGCTCCGACCCTGGCAGAGATTTAAAGGACGTCCCGGGCTGCGGGCACCAGGCCTGGGACACGCTAGGGGACAGGAGCTGTCTTGGAAAACTCAACGGCCGTCTGCTTCTCCCATTGCGAGAGCTGGCGCCAGCCCGATCCTGCCCCCAGCCGGGGGGAGGGGGGCTTAATGCTTTTAGCAGGCTTCTGGAACGCCCCAGCTCCAAGGATCCGTCATATCCCAGAAGAAAATATCCATCTGTCCATTTTCTAACTGCTTTACCAGTACAGGGTTGCTGAAGAGCTAGAGCCTATCCCAGCAG